CTGAAAACGCTCCAGAGAAGCAGTCAAAAAGTGGTCAGAAATGCTCGTTTTTTACCTGTTTCTGACTGTTCCTTGGCGTCGAAAGTCTCACCGAGAGTCGGAACTGTGCGGAATCGAGTCTACGCCTCCAACTCTAGTCGGAAAAGCTCAGCGAGTCCCTCGCTTCGAGCTATTCGCTGAAAACGCTGCAGAGAGAGCGAGAGTCAGAATGTCGTCAGAGACACTCGTTTTTGAACAGTTTATGACTGTTTCTCGGCTCAGGAAGCCTCGCCGAGAGTCAAGACCATGCGCAATCGATTCTACGCCTCCAACTACGTAGGATGCGACTGAAATCTCGAATTTTTTTTTTCAGTCCAAAATCGAGAAAAATCGACAGGGGTTACATGGACTAAATTTTTTGAGTCAAAATCGAAAGTTCTCCGATGGCGCCATAACCAAGCTAGTCAGCTTGGAAATGACCCGCTGAATGCGATTTTCTAGTCGGAAAAGCTCCGCGAGTCCCTCGCTTCGAGCTATTCGCTGAAAACGCTGCAGAGAGAGAGAGAGAGTCAGAAAGTCGTCAGAGACACTCGTTTTTGAACAGTTTATGACTGTTTCTCGGCTCAGGAAGCCTCGCCGAGAGTCAAGACCATGCGCAATCGATTCTACGCCTCCAACTTCGTAGGATGCGACTGAAATCTCGAATTTTTTTTTCAGTCCAAAATCGAGACAAATCGACAGGGGTTACATGCACTAAATTTTTTGAGTCAAAATCGAAAGTTCTCCGATCGCGCCAAAACCAAACTAGTCAGCTTGGAAATGACCCGCTGAGTGCGATTTTCTAGTCGGAAAAGCTCAGCGAGTCCCTCGCTTCGAGCTATTCGCTGAAAACGCTGCAGAGAGAGCGAGAGTCAGAATGTCGTCAGAGACACTCGTTTTTGAACAGTTTATGACTGTTTCTCGGCTCAGGAAGCCTCGCCGAGAGTCAAGACCATGCGCAATCGATTCTACGCCTCCAACTACGTAGGATGCGACTGAAATCTCGAATTTTTTTTTTCAGTCCAAAATCGAGAAAAATCGACAGGGGTTACATGGACTAAATTTTTTGAATCAAAATCGAAAGTTCTCCGATGGCGCCATAACCAAGCTAGTCAGCTTGGAAATGACCCGCTGAATGCGATTTTCTAGTCGGAAAAGCTCCGCGAGTCCCTCGCTTCGAGCTATTCGCTGAAAACGCTGCAGAGAGAGAGAGAGAGAGTCAGAAAGTCGTCAGAGACACTCGTTTTTGAACAGTTTATGACTGTTTCTCGGCTCAGGAAGCCTCGCCGAGAGTCAAGACCATGCGCAATCGAATCTCCGCCACCAACTACGTAGGATGCGACTGAAAGCTTGAATTTTTTTTTCAGTCCAAAATCGAGGAAAATCGACGGGTGTCATGGACTAAAATTTTAGGGTCAAAATCGAAAGTTCTCCGATTGCGCCCAAAGGAAGCTAGTCGGCTTGGAAATGACCCCACGAGTCCGCTGGACGGCGGTATTCGCGAAAGTCGCCCGCAGGAACATTTCATGAACTTTTGTATTTACAAATGCACTTGAGAGCTGATAGAAATTCTCAACAACGTCTGGCGCTCACATGTTTGAATTGAAATCGGCATAAAGGTTCATGCTTTTGATTTACGCTTTTTCACGTTTCAAATGACGGCAAGAAGAGTCAAATATACAATTACGCAAGAAAAAATGAATACTGATGGAACCATTTATAATCGACCAAAAGTTTTGCTCAGTTGCCTACCTTTATGGACTGTTTGAATCATTAAATTAATTTTTCATGAAAACCTTGTCAGTTGGATTGTCAAGATTGATCTTTGAATTCATTTTGACTTGAGCAGGTAATGTGAGCTCGAAAAGCAGATCTGTGAATGGCTAGCACTGATGGCGGATAATTGGCAGACGGTCCAAATTCGACCGAGTTCGACAGAGATGAACGGAGCCACAAAATTTTTACTACATTTTGTTTATGTTTAATCCATCTTTGATTGGAGGATTTCTTGTCTTTTTTGCTCAAAACTGCATCCACGGAGATCTAAATTTTCAGGGTTTTTTAGGAAAGGTTATAATTTTTCTTGTAACATTTTTATTGGACCGAGTTTATCAGAAAGGAACCTACCTACATTTTCGAAAAATTGAGTTAAGAATATTTTTGAGATCCGCATGTCGTATATTTCGATTCTCGATTCGGCAACCGCGCGCGGAGTTAACCAAACCTGTGTCTCGTAACGCTCCACGGTTCTCGAGTTTTTTCTAACCTTTTCCGGCTGTTTTTGTTTTGAAAGTATATCGGTATGTGTGTGAAGGACCCCTGAACGCTTGCGTAGCTGTGTCTTTGGTCTCTCAGCTCTTTTAAAGGGTGAAACTTTAGTTTCTGGTGTACGAAATCATTATGTAACCCTGTACGTATGGTGTTTTCTTGCTGGTGTTAGTGTTTTAAAGACCTCATGATTGCCAGATTTCAGTGAACTCTTTCATTTCTGTCCCCGACGCGCATGCGCTTTAAAGGGGAAATTTGGCAACAAAAACTTATTACTAGATATAATCCTGCTTTATGTCCAATCATATTGGCCGTACCATCAGCTTCTCGCGGTCTAGACACCCGCGCCTTTTCTCTCAGAAATTACGGTTTTAGACTTAGAATTCGCACCGGAGACGAGTCGTCACGAGTCCTCTACCAGATCTTTCTGATTACGGGACCACAATCGCAGCGCACGGCGCGCATCGCGGCGGCGGCGGCGTACCGCGGCGGCGGCGGCGTATCGCGACGGCGGCGGCGTTCCGCGCGCACGTGACTCATTGCCGCATCTGTAAATACACTCTGCTCCAGGTCACTGACTGCAGGGATAAACACTGTACCGAATTCCGCCTGCCTAAATTATGGAAGCAAGGACAAAAACCTCGCAACTCTCTCAAAGCATGACACAAAACAAGGACATGGACTCAAACGCACGGACTTTAGAAATTGGCAAACTGGAAACATCGTTAAAGGAACTTTTGGATTCAGTCAACTTAATCCGAAATATGATCTACGACATAGACAATGANTCGGAAAAGCTCCGCGAGTCCCTCGCTTTGAGCTATTCGCTGAAAACGCTGCAGAGAGAGAGAGAGTCAGAAAGTCGTCAGAGACACTCGTTTTTGAACAGTTTATGACTGTTTCACGGCTCCGCAAGCCTCGCTGAGAGTCAAGACCATGCGCAATCGATTCTGCGCCTCCACCTACGTAGGAAGCGACTGAAATCTCGAATTTTTTTTTTTCAGTCCAAAATCGATAAAAATCGACAGGGGTTACATGGACTAAATTTTTTGAGTCAAAATCGAATGTTCTCCGATCGCGCCATAACCAAGCTAGTCAGCTTGGAAATGACCCGCTGAGTGCGATTTTCTAGTCGGAAAAGCTCCGCAAGTCCCTCGCTTCGAGCTATTCGCTGAAAACGCTGCAGAGAGAGAGAGTGAGAAAAGTCGTCAGAGACACTCGTTTTTGAATAGTTTATGACTGTTTCTCGGCTCAGGAAGCCTCGCCGAGAGTCAAGACCATGCGCAATTGATTCTACGCCTACAACAACGTAGGATGCGACTAAAATCTAGAATCTTTTTTTTCAGTCCAAAATCGAAAAAAATCGACAGGGGTTACATGGACTAAATTTTTTGAGTCAAAATCAAAAGTTCTCCGATCGTGCCGAAACCAAGCTAGTCAGCTTGGAAATGACCCGCTGAGTGCGATTTTCTAGTCGGATAAGCTCCGCGAGTCCCTCGCTTCGAGCTATTCGCTGAAAAGAAAGTCGTCAGAGACACTCGTTTTTGAACAGTTTATGACTGTTTCTCGGCTCAGGAAGACTCGCCGAGAGTCAAGACCATGCGCAATCGATTCTACGCCTCCAACTACGTAGGATGCGACTGAAATCTCGAATTTTTTTTTTCAGTCCAAAATCGAGAAAAATCGACGGGTGTTACATGGACTAAATTTTTTGAGTCAAAATCGAAAGTTCTCCGATCGCGCCCAAAGCAAGCTAGTCTCCTTGGAAATGACCCCACGAGTCCGCTGGACGGCGGTATTCGCGAAAGTCGCCCGCAGGAACATTTCATGAACTATTGTATTTACAAATGCACTTGAGAGCTGATAGAAATTCACAACAACGTCTGGCGCTCACATGTGTGATAAGAAATGGGCATAAAGGTTCAAGCTTTTGATTTACGCTTTTTCGCGTTTCAAATGACGGCAAGAAGAGTCAAATATACAATTACGCAAGAAAAAATTAATACTGATGGAACCATTTATAATCGACCAAAAGTTTTGCTCAGTTGCCTACCTTTATGGACTGTTTGAATCATTAAATTAATTTTTCATGAAAACATCGTCAGTTGGATTGTCAAGATTGATCTTTGAATTCATTTTGACTTGAGCAGGTAATGTGAGCTCGAAAAGCAGATCTGTGAATGGCTAGCGCACTGATGGCGGTTAATTGGCAGACGGTCCAAATTCGACCGAGTTCGACAGAGATGAACGGAGCCACAACATTTTTACTACATTTTGTTTATGTTTAATCCATCTTTGATTGGAGGATTTCTTGTCTTTTTTGCTTAAAACTGCATCGACGGAGATCTAAATTTTCTGGGTTTTTAGGAAAGGTTATAATTTTTCTTGTAACATTTTTATTGGACCGAGTTTATCAGAAAGGAACCTACCTACATTTTCGAAAAATTGAGTTAAGAATATTTTTGAGTTCCGCATGTCGTATATTTCGTCCCGCCCAAAACTCAAAGTCGAAACAGAAAATTGGTTTGTGAAAAGAGGGGTTAAAATTAATCTCCTACATTAAGTCTCACGGAGAATTAAAACTTCATACCCCTTTTTCTCAGTTTCAACTTAATGTGGGTTGGTTCCTTTTTGTTAAACTCGGTCTAATTATTGCAGTTCGCTAGTTTCACTCAGATGAGAGGCAAGGTTATTAAATAATTTTCAAAGCGAGATCGAATCTAATGAAATATTTATTGACTTAACTGATCAAGTATAATAAAATTAACTTAACGCGATTTTTATTTACAAAAGACAATTTTCAAAATACTACGTTTTAGACAAAGACGATGAGAAGAATATACACGCTAACATGAGCCACAGAGAGGGGCATTGGAGCCAGCTGGGTCCCTTTCCTCCGTGTTGCATTGCAGCTGGGTTTTCACCTGCAACAGAAAGCAAAAAATATCCAGTCAAATTAAAGTTTTAAATTAAGATGTAACAATCATACAAAAGGACAGGGATGCTCTTAAAATCCGATTTTTTACACCTGAGAGATCACAGTTTTTGTCGATTATAGTTTAAATTTTTCAGTGATGGTAATATGGTTGAAATTTGTCAATAATGTTAAGTTGTATTTTTAATAGTTAAGATAAGCCTTTTAAAGACATAAAATATGTCTATAAGTGTGTTTTGTGCAGTTTCTTAAGTGCAAAAAAATAACAACCCTGAGGGATAAAAATTGTCCTATATTAGCAAATTTAGCCTTGGACCTTTTCTAATGCACGGTCACACTTACCCTGCCATGCTAAGAAAAAACGCCGTATATGCCCTCAGGAGTCGCCAAATTTCTTTCAATAAAATGCGAATTTGAGGGAAAACTTACTTTTCTCCCTCTTTTTCTTCCCCTTTTTTTCAGTGAAAATATTATACTTCATTTGAAAAGCATTTACATTTTTAAAATGTGGCAAATATTTGTAAAACGTTTTCCAAGCGATGGCATCGATATTAGTCGATGAGTCGATTAGTTGAAAGATACCTTACAAAAATAAATTAAAGAGGGGACAAAATAAAAAAAAAAACTCGCAATCATTCATTTTAACCCATTTTTTCATTGATCTTTTAGAGTCAAAAAGTCCAATTTTGAGCGTATAGTTGCGCGCACACTACGCTGCAGCGCAGTAAAATCACAAAATATATAAATTAAAGTGCTTTGGAAATCATCAGACACAGAATCACCTCAATATTTACAAAATGCACATAATATTTTCCTTTATTACATATTTTTTTTCATCATTTGAAAGGAATATAATCCACGCAGTGTGTGCAAACATTTTACGAGTTTAAATATAGGAACCTAACACAGAGCGGAACGGCGTGCTGCTAGCACGAAACGCGCACTGGCGCCTACAAACCTAACAGGGATACTTCACGCATTGCGCAATGCGTGAAGTATCCCCGTTAGGTTTGTAGGCGCCAATGCGCCTTTCGCATTGGCCGCCCGCCCGCCGCGCCGCAGCGTGCCACGGCGCCTCAAGCAACTATTTCACACTATAGGTATTGCACAGTATATCATACGCAATTGAAGGCACTCCAACATATTAAGAAAGACAGGCATCCTTTTTATTTTTATTTGTTTTAAAGAGGCAATGCTATTACAGTTTCTTTCTCGTTCTTATCATTTCCTAATCGGGGGATTGGTCGGTCATGGGCCACACGTAATCAAACGGCACTTTCGACCCCGGATTCGAGGCCAGGGATGTATGGGATGTAGGTAGGTTAATGCCCCCCTCCCCCCCTCGGCCCATTCTAGGGTTGGGCGTGAATCCTAGAGTTAGATCTGTGTGCATGTAACCACCCGTATTTTAATTGAGCGCCGCTGAGTGATTCTGGTTTTAAGCAGCGCCGCTACAGCTCTCCCGCTAATTTGAGCGGCACTCAAAAGGTGAGACGAAATTTTAAAAGCTTCGACGCGGATACTTTAAGACTCCATCGATGCCAGTTTGCGTGAGAAAAAAACCAAGGCAGGGATTTTCGGAGGAAACGAGTGTTTTATATTGAAATATTGAACTCTGCCGTGGCATAACGTTCAAAAAATATTGTGAACAGCGAATCGGACGTATTAAAATCTAACGGAACTAAATTTATTCCAAGATGAGCCTTAAAATCCATAGGGATAAATGCATGACAGGGCTCATGTCACCACTTTCCGGTCAAAGTTTCGCAAGCATCGTGCGACGTTTCAAAATTTCCACACCGCCATTTAAATTTTTTAAAGGGAAATCGTTGGTTGAATCTGTTTCAGAGTTTCACTGAATTTTATCAGCAGCAGAGAGAAATTTCAGTAAAATTTTCCGACAGCTTCGTTGAAGAATTTCTCTGTAAAAAAATAAATTGGCGGCGGAAATGTTGAATTGGCATGACGCTTGTGATACTTTGGCCGAAAGTGACGATGTCGCAAAAGATTCAGTCCGCCCTGATTTAAATGATTTCGGCGATACGATTTTATAACTGCGATTGTTTAGTTGTCGGCTTAATTAGCCGAGCTGGAACACACTTCAGTTTGGAATCTGGCATTTTATGGCGACTCGAAAGTATGCTCCAGTTCGACAGAACTGCAACTTTGTTGATGTTCGGATAATAATTCAGATACACAAGATTTAGCTGCGGTCGACATTCTTTGAAATTTTCCCCCGAAATACATTCCTCAGTTTCCTTAAAAATTGTATTTAATGGTAACTTAAAGGTATGTGTTCCAGTTTCGCACAATCCGGATGTGTTTGCAATACTTCCAGATGCGCTGTATTAAATCGTGAAACAAATTCCCTGAAAATTTCAAAGGAAAGTATTCACAAATTTTCCAAGAAATTCGCACTACATTAGAATAAATCTAGCAACGTCCACATGCTGGATTGTACGCATTATAAAAAAATCGGGACAGATTTTCAGCTATTTTCTGCGACTTGCTCATTTACATCAAAAAATGTATTTAAAATGTTTACTGAAAAGTGACTGTCCGCGGTGGAGAGGGGTAGGAGAAATTTTTGTCGAGTTGGATCCAAATTTGGAGTTTGTGTGAACTGAAGCTTATTTTCCCGTGCGGAGGGTCACAAGTCGACTTCCTCTTGCAATGAAGAACCACCACTCCTGACTTATTTTAGTAACAACATATCGACGGTGAAACTACCAAACCACGTATCTCGGTTTGCGACGTCGCAGACTTCCTGCCATACTTTAATTTTTAAATGGGAAAGTACTCAACGTCAATTCTTGAAAACTTCCGTGATTTTTCTTCTCAGTACGAAGAAAATTCTGTAAAAACTTCAAGGAATGATATTGAATTATTCTCCTCCAGAAAAATAAAATGAGACCGGAGATTTTTAGACACCGCAAACGAGATACGTGGTTTGGTAGTTTCACCATCGATATGCTCCGTTAATGTCCACGTACGGACAGGTGCTTTAATGGACGGATCAGAACTTAGAAATAGTGGTTCCTTATTGCCAAATGCAGACCAAGTATTGGAAAGTGTTATGTTCGATACCGTCGTAGAAGTGATGGAAAATGTAGTGATTTATGAGGGAAACAAGGCAGCATGGCAACGGGTGGTTTGTTGGATATGGCGAATGGCGATAAGGCTGCGAACATTTCCATACGGTTTTCCAGTCCATAAAATCTCTGCCGTGCACACGACTCATATCGTCGGTCCTCTGACATGAACGCCTATTTCTATTCCAACATGAGTTCTGGAGAGCGTTCTGTTGCACGGGGAACAGGGCTCAGGCGAAAATTGAGATGCTTCCTTACGTCAGAGGGGCGACGATATGCCATCCCCGACGGCTCCTCACATCCATGTGCATCCCTCAATCTGTAGGGTTTTTTTTTCGAGTCATGGTCGCACTTAATTTACAGGATGGATAAAGCTCGAAATAAAAAAAAGAGCAAAGCTCGTCGCAAGATCTTTATCTTTTTCATGGCATATTAGGGTGCCAGGGCGGCTTATTTCAATAAATTAAACTGAGTAATTGCAAAATTAACAAGGCATCCAGCCAGAGTGTTCCAATCTTCGTCAAAACAAACGCAGTCGAGCAGTTCTCCGTTTGGTTAATACCTACAAAGGCTGCCCCACAATGACCCGGACGGACACTGTAACTCAATAACCATAATCAACAAATTGAGCTGATCTTAAGCTCATTTGAAAGATAAAGTTAAAAGGAAGCAATTGCGTTAAAGGCCACTTTATTTTGATGAAAATTGACTGAATTATGACACTTTCAAAATGGGGCGTAATAAAATACCCTACCGTTTTTTTCAACTTGTTTCTTCTCGTTTTACTCATCAAACTTTTCCGGCGATCTTTCCCTCACAAAAAGAACTTGGTAACACATGCTTTTAAGCGCTCAGCCGATAGGCAGCGCTTTTTGATTTCGACTTGCCTCTGAGTACTATTATCCTAGTGCTAATGCGTTTAAATGGTGCACCAGCTCATTGATGGGTAGGCTTTTTGGGGGGGTTCATTTTTAAAATAAATAAAGCTGTGAAAACTGTATTTTATGCTTTTAACGTAATGCGCAGGTAGTTTCGATCGTTTGTCTATAAGAAAATGTCTTAGCGGTAGAGTAATTCTTATCGAAATTGATCGTTGAACTCAAATGAACTCTAAAAAAACGCGCCTGATGAGCTCATTTTCGGGAAACAAAAATACGCGTTTACGGTTTCCTTGGTAACCTTTGTTTGCTATCAGCTGATGTTTTATTTCCATTTCCCAGCCAAATCGACGGAGTTTACACGTCCTTTCTTCATTAAATACATTTACTAACACCTGAAACGGTTCGTTTCAGAGGGAGGTAAATAAAATAGTGTTGCCCACTCAAAATTCCTTCAGGATCTTGAAGTAGGATGCATACACAGTCATTTAAGCCTAAAATGAAAATATACTGTCGAGCTCTTCGAAAATAAAATCGATTTTTGTGTTTTTGGCGCTAAAATGGCTTCAAAAACGATCAATGATTCAATTCCGATGGGTTGTGCATATGCAAAATGGTACATGTATGATAAAATCTACGTATTTTTGGACCAGGAATCAATTGAGCAGGGTCCCGAATCGGTCCGAAGCTTCATTGACCGAAAAATGGGCCTTTTTTGGGATTTTAGGGATGTTTTGGGCCCATTTTTTCCCAATTTTGTCGTGAGAAAACCTGTGCCGTCATGGGTATTGATTATTAGGTAATTTCGGGCAAGAAATCGAATGCGCTTGGTCACGAGTCAATCCGGGGCTTCCTAATCCAAGAATACGCAGTAGGCCCAGGTGGAGCTCCGGAAGAGCTTTGAAAATATTTTTTGTCTTTTATGTTCACACTGGATGCTGAAATTGGCCTTTCTTTGACTTTAAAATGAGACTCCTGAATAAGTAAGTTGTGGTTTGTGTATGAGGAATATTTCTTTT